TCCCTGGAATTTGGATCTATCGTTTCTTGGAGCTCATCTAGTATCATGTACTCGAGGCATTTAAGGAAGGGAGACGATAGCCCTACAGGTCTGTAGTCCTTTAATTCTTTGGGGTGGGAAGTTTTCGGAAGTGGGACGATCTTCACCTTCTTCAAGATTTTCGGAATTTTTCTCTGTCGCAAACACTCATTGAAGATGTCCATCATTTGCTCGGATAGTGCTTTAGATGCATTTCGTATCGCCCAAGGACTAAGACCGTCAGGACCAGCTGATTGCTTTGGCCTCAGTCGTCGTAGTAGCTGTTCAGTTCGCTCTTTCGTCGAAGTTTGAAAAACATGTTCGTTTGGCTGTTCAAGATTAATGTCATTAATAATAACATTAATAATACATTAATGACATTAATGTCATTTGTCCAAATGGCATCTAGTGAAGCTTCTCCTCTGGTTTTGAAATCCACGATATTTTTCTTGCATCCAGTGAGATCAATAGATGAGAACTTGGCTCGATTCACGTCTCCACATATGTATGGAGTGGATGAGTCTGCGTGATCTTGGACTAATTGATGGAGACAGTCAACCGCACGAGTCTTGTTTCCTCGAACCTTGATGTATACAGACACAATAACAAATTTGCCGCGTAGCACCGCCACCATATCTAGGTCGTCATTTGCTACTTTCATTATTTCTTATGGGCTCTCGCACCATTCAGACCCGACACAAACTGCGACGCCACCTCCCGATTTCTTTTTGTCATTTTGCCTGTCGGATCGATGAATCGAGAATCCTGGTAGGGCGACACTCATATGGATGCCGATCGTGCAACCATGTTTCTTGGATGCAGAGCGCGCAGAGAGCTTGCATAGATGGGCATTTCGGCAGCTCCTTCAGTGACACCAGATTCGGTTGTAGACTTCGGATATTTCAACATAGGGGAACGGGGGAAGGTAGTCTACTCAGATCACAATCTTTCAGAGCACGACCGACACCAGCACGATATCTTCTTTTCTTTTTCTGTCAAAAAATTCCAACTGATCGCAGGTGCTGATATATACGATCTGGCAGTACGTGTTCGTTGGAACCACTACGAAAGTTCAACAGCTCCCATTCGGAATATGCGTATGTCACAATTCACTTCGGTCACAAAGAACAACAGAAAAAATACTGCGAGGACAAGTAAGCCTGCTGCCACCCAGGGCGCTGCCATGTTGCTTTTCAACGAAAGTGAATAAGACATGGCCAACTTGACCCACAATCGTCATTCCTTAGTTTTATTTTTTAATATGGACCATGCAACGCGAAAAACGCTCTGTTTTCAATCGAACTTTACATACGAAGTAGCAGAAGCAATCAGGACAGAAACAACTAAGCATACTGGATAAACAATGAAAGACGCTTATGCGTTCATACGCCTTATCACGCATTTGTAACGCAAACCATTCATACTAATCCTTCTTTACGAAAAAGTAATATAATATGACCGGAGAAGTGAGAAAGATTACCCTTCTATTGTGTATTTGGCTGATAAGAAACATCAATAGAAATGATATCAGTTTCATATGGCCTGCGCCACCCGGTGATCCCTCTAATCCCCGTCGTCATATCTTCTCTTACAGGCATTTTACAATATCTTAAAATTCACCTTATCTTTTTAATTTCATGAACATTCTGACCGCACAGATATCCTTTGCAGTCTGCCGCATACGAAAAGTTACCGGGTGAGACACAGTGCCATAAGGATGCAGCGATCATTCCTCATTGTCCTCTTAGGATTGTGCCTCCTGTTCAGCGTGGCGTGCCTCCTCTCGTACTTTCAGAGTGAGGATTTCTTCCACCTGGATCGGGTGATTCGGCTCACATTGAATTATAATCAGGAAATTCGTTCGAAAGAAGATGTGACCATTTGGTTCGTGATGACGTCAGATGATCCAGTTCTGAACCCGAGACAGTCTTGTGCCATAGAGTCCACTTCTCAAATGAATCCCTTCTCTGAAATTCTCGTCTTTCACACAAGACCTGACATCGAGATGAAAGTCAATCTCCCGAACGTGAAATTCCAGTATTTGGGTCCCCAGTCCATGTTCGCAGGTTCTCCATTGGATTCTTGGTACCACAGCCAGGCCTTCAATGAAAGTCCTTACAAGCGTATTCATCTCAGCGATGGACTAAGAACGGCTTTATTGTGGGAATACGGAGGTATTTATATGGACCTGGACTTCATCTGTCTCAAGCCGCTTCGTGACCTGACTCGGAATTTTCTCGGTTTCGAGGGTGAGAAGAGAGTCAATGGTGCTTTGATGGGGTTCTCGGTTCTCGCCCAAACACCCTTTCCTTCTGGAAGTGATGAAATACATGACTATGCATTACAATCCCGATTCCATTCCTGGAGCGGGTCCAAATATTTTGAGTGATGTCTTTCTCAAACATTGTCCTGAAGACAACAGCACGGACTGGAGTGGAACTGTGACCTGTGATGGCGTTACCGCCTATCCAAAGCATTATTTCTATCCTGTGCCCTACGAGCAAAACCAGAAACTTTTCTCCAGGGATCACTTGGAAGAAGTCTTGAAAGAACTCGACGGGAGTCATGCCATTCATTTCTGGAATGCCCTTACAAACGGGATCCAGGCGAATGTGAAAGATGAGGTCGTTCTCACCGTCTTGGCCAGGAAATATTGCCCATCCGTTGCGAATATCGCCGGTGAAAGTTTCAGGAAGTGATTCCCATGTAACTCACCGCATGATAAAAAGTTCTACTTTTCTTAGTACTGAGTGCATTCATGGCTTTTTTTTTCTTTTTGGGGTGGTTTTTGAACATATGCCAAGAAGGTAATATTATTGCTTAATTTGCTGCCACGTTCGGGATATTTGTGTTATTTCAGTAACAAAGCAATCCACACTCCCAAAGGACCAGAGAATCCGTGATGGGTTTCATTCCCGAATATCTTGGGAACGGGGTGGCGGAGAAATATGCGATATGCATTATATGAAAAGTTATTTCGTCTGTCTGTCTTTCATTTTGTCTCTAGGTTTATTTGTCTGGCTGTCTTTTTGCATTTCCTTTTGTCTGCGAAGTAATCCAATCATCGTTTTAGGTTTGCAAGAAATTTGTTATCTTAAGTCTATACTATATCGACTTTACTGTAACGCTTGCTCTTAGCGCGAGCAGGTGTGTTTTTTTTAGCGTTGATTGACCTCATTATCTTTTTTTTAATTTCATGACTTTTTGCGTGATGTACAGCTATATACCAATTTCATTTTCCAAGGAAAGCTGAATCGCATCCGATTTGGGTCATTCCTCTCGGATTAAAAAAAAAGAAAAAACTGGCGGCATGGCAATCTGCGATTGGAAATTTCGTTTGCGTCAGAGGCGATGAAGTCCTTGCTAATGTGACGAATAATGAATGAACAGGAATGTGCCATTTAGATGAGTACTCACTTCGCGAGGGCATTTAGCTCCAAAGAGGACAGAATTAATGGAGTAATTTTCGTATCGGAGCAGAGGTAGTGAAAATCCCTCTTTCGTGGAAAAACTATATAACGGCAAAATTAAGCGACTGAAATAAGCGTCCCGTGAAGCGTTTTCGTTTTTTTTTATTCCCTGCATTTTCCTATGACAATGCATTCTCGTCTTTCTCCCTCTGGTACCCGTTTTATTATTAACCATGAATTAATATTAAATAATTAAGTACACTCAGGAGCATAGCAGCCCATACGATTCCATTAAAAACACTGAAATAGGAGTTTTCGCTTCGCTACTGCTTCCACGATCCGCTGACAGGAATGCGTCCACGACAGCGCCACCCCCTAAAGAATCACCTACCAGTACTAACAAAGTGGTCGCTGCGCAACCTTGACTTTCTCTGCCTGACTCATTCAATGCAAGAGGAAACCACACGTAGACTCCACCACCCAAATTTAGCCAGAATGGAACTCGAGCTTGACCTGGATGGAATTGACGTAGCTTTCCAATTGCAGCGAGATGCAGCTCATTGTCCGTGTCCCTTCAACAGATGCGGAAAACGAAAGGCCAACGTTGGTTCGACCGGGAATGGCGAATTGCTCGAAAAAAGTGGTTCTGAAAAACTCTACGCCTAGCAAAAATGAATCCCAGGGCACACCCAGAATGCTCACATCGACGAAGAGAGTACAAGCAACTACCCTCTCTCAAGAAATCCATCCATCAGGATCACCAGGAAAGGAATTTTATGAGAGCAGTGGAAGAGAAGCCTTGGAGATTCCTCAAAAGCCGCGATAGAACATTCAAGTCCTGCCCCATCGCGTTAGAAGCCTGGGAAGAACATTTTCATCGTCTCCTAAACCCGATCGGCGTTCTCCCAGATTTCAAGGACCTGGAGCATCTTTATAATACCGGAGACCATCTACCACTAAATGCACCATTCAGCGAGGAGGATTCAGTGGAAGCTACCGACGCCATGCTCTCCTTCCCAGACAAGAAGGCCACAGGTATTGACGGCATTTGCTACGAGCATCTCAAAGGGTCGGTCGGCATTACAAGTAATCTTTTTGACGAGACTATTCAACCTATGTCTTGAAAGAGGCGAAGTGGCCACCCATTGGAAATACGGCCTCATTAAAGGACTTTTCAAAGGGAAGGGCTCCAAAAATGACCCCAACAGCTATCGTGGCATCGCTCTCGTGCTTTCAAGGTCACACCAAGCTACTCTGTCAGAGGATCACGCGTCACAGTGAGTGCTACTAATCTGAAGAACAATACGGATTTCTTCACGGTCGCGGAAACGTAGATGCTCTGAAAGTGTTCAAGTCCAAATTGGACGGCCGTCTCAGCGTGCTAAAGAAACCTCTATTCGCTCTCTTCGTCGATTTTAAGAAACCCTTCGACTGCATCGATCGCCATCTCCTCCTTCTCAAATTAACCCGAGGATCCCAGCTACTCGGAAAAATTGTAAGACTTCTTGCCACCATACTCAAGGAGAACCTGATCCGAGTGGACGAGTCTCCTGGCCCGATTGGGTCCCCCTTGCAAAAGGGATCGATAGAAATTGCTCTAGGAATCCGATAAACTCCTAATGGGATGTGTTGGTCTACATAGGGACCGTGTGCTCCTATGGGAATTCCAAAAAGTACCATATATGAAACTTTCCTTCTTGGAGGAGTTGTAACACGTTCCCGATTCTTCCTTTCTCACATTCTCATTCAAGTGACAAATTAGGCCCATATTGGAATATGCTGCTCCTGTGTGGCACTTCGCCTTGACTACCTCTGAAGAAAAAGCAATCGAAAGTATCCAAAAAAGGACTCTAAAAATAATTCATGGCACTTCTTATTTAAATTATCTGTCTTCCACTCTGACTTGGAAAAGCCACATTCTCGCTACCCTCCGGAAAGCTTCAAAGCGGATGTTCATACTATATACCATGAAATCCTTCCAAGCCCCTGCGGAAGACATGGTGAGAATTTGGACAACATTCATTAGGCCCATATTGGAATATGCTGCTCCTGTGTGGCACTTCGCCTTGACTACCTCTGAAGAAAAAGCAATCGAAAGTATCCAAAAAAGGACTCTAAAAATAATTCATGGCACTTCTTATTTAAATTATTCTGCCTCTCTCTCAAAATCTGGACTCACCACACTGTGCGAACGACGAGATCACATCGTCAAGGGATTTGCTCTCTCGCTCCTAAATTCGTCTCGCTACCGCAACATCCTGCCGCCCCTACGGCAATGCCCCCAGAGTCACCTCCGGAAATGGCGTCCAATTCGTGAATACCAGTGCAAAACCAAGAGATTTTTTACATCATCCATCCCAGCCATGACAAGATTGATGAACATTGAACTCCTTGACTAATACACGTTCATTTTACTCATTTTCTAGTGACGTTGAAACCTCTTCTTGTCTCCTTCTGTGTTTGACTTTGGGACGCAATTTGCTTTGCACAATGTCTCAATAAATAAAAAAAGAGACTGCTGTCGAAGTTATGACGTTGTCACATACGGAGGCAAATCCTTAATTTAATCAACTTTTCGCCTATGGCATAGGCGAATCACTACGAATGCCTCATCGCATGTGGAGGTTCACGTACGTTATCGAACGATGATTCCACGCTCTGGAGTACGAATCCAATGGTTCCATACTCGGGCGGGGTTCTCAAAGTGACATTTCGTTCTTCAGACGACTGCCTCCAGGAAACCGATGGACACAAGGTTGTGAAATTTGGTGTGTGGACGAATTTGACCATGCATAAAAAATTACACAGTCGTGTGGTGATTTATACTGTAATAGCACTAGCGGAGCCCGGCGAAAGTTGCGGGAAACGACAATGCAGCGATTTGTAGATTTTACCACTGATACTTGATATCCTTTAGTTATATTGCCTAAAGAAAAATGTTTAGAACTACATCATAGAATAAAAGCTCTACAGATTTGATCGCTTGACTTTAATTGAAGAACAGGTAAAATTGTTTTGAATTTGTGACATTTATTTTTAAAAAGTGTACAGTATTATGAATTGAAATTCTCTCGGAACACGAAATTTAGTGCCATCGTTGCCTCGGTATCGGCCTCAACCGGATCCAGGCTTATTATTTAAATTGATGTTTTGCAAGCGCCGCACTCTTGAAAGTGCTAAATGGAACTGTCCATGGATGAATACAATTTAAGGAACGTAAAATCCCGTGCGTTTGAATGTTTGACTTAGCAATTTCCTAATAGTCATGGCTAAAGCAGCACAAATACTTTTGCCGATTGATCTCGAGAGGCATCGTTGTGCCTTGCATGCAATTTAGGTTGCTGATGACCATGGCGTTTATACTGCGCTCAAGTCAATTTTTGGGAGTAAGACCAGCTGGAATGAGGCTGTTTTTGAACTACATTGGATCATTATTTTGCTCCTTGTTATTCAAGACCATGCTGTCGATGCTATAAAAGGCCTTCTAGCACGTCCCAGTTGGCATTTTTATTTTAGGTTTTCCTTTATTAAACAGTGAATTAATGGTCATCGAAACATACATGTAAACACGCTAACAAGGCTGCACATATTTGTCAGCACGCTATTTTTATGCATGCTGCCCACAATGGTGTGGCTTCCCACAAGTGAGTAAACAATGCCACTATGCGCTCTGTCATTTTCGTGGGTGAAACAGCAGTCGTTTTCGTTGTTGGAGGAACCAGGGGGTTAGAGTTCTGCACGAGTCTGTTTTTGTGGGATCGTGGCCCGCACCCGAGCCGGAACGCGATCATCAACTGAGCTTTGCTGCTCCGAACCGTAAATCGCGTTGAACTGACATGGCCGTCCCGCTGCCTGCTTAGGTCTCTTAGTTTCATTCTCCTAGTCTCTGATGACGTATTTGCCCCAAGGGGGACGGAGGGAGCCACGCAGTTCTGCGCAGAAGTGCCTTTTCGGGTGGAACGATTTAGAAAAAGGGCATTCTGTATAAAAATTCAGGGGGGGCGAAGCGGGCCTTTGGCATGGGAAACGGTGCAAGACGGTTATATTGGGAAATCTGAAACTCAAGAAAACTTCTCTTTCAGCAGAAAAAACCTCTTTCAAACTGAAGCGCTTTTCCTGGGCATCTCTCATCCATATACCTAAAAATCCATCTACAGGGTGATTCAAAAGTCACCTATATTATTTTTTGGTGCCGTTTATGGCATCAATCGATTTATCTGCTCCTCCTGAGCAGTTTTATGAAATATTAGTGTGGGGCGAAAGATACTTGGTAAGGAACGACCGAA